CCTCGCACGCCCCTCGCATGCCCTCGCGCAGCCTCGCGCGGCCCGCACACCTTCGCACACCCTCGCGCGTTCATTCGCGTGCAACGCGTGCGCGATTGCGAAGAGCGTGTACGCGAACTCGAGCTCCGCCAGCGCAACTCGCGCGCCCAGCCATCTGTACGGCGGCTCAGCAGTGGGCGCGTTAGAGCGCTCGTGCGATCATGCTTTAGATAACCGTTTCACTGCGTTGCAGGGAGTCAAGGACTTGCACGCGCGCAGTATCGAATGATCGTACGCGTTGGAGGGAAGGCTGGAGAGATGTAAAATTGTGTGTGCATCATCGAAATGGTGGAGGATAAAAGTAGCGGCGAAGAGGAGGGAAGATCTCGTGTAAAACAGAATGTCTCAAGTAGCCAGTTCAGGTAGTCTTGTAAAGATATCAACGCAACCTGCTTGTGCGCACCACTCCATGCTCGCTCACAATCCGCTCAAACGACGTGCCGCCGAAGAGCTACTCCCCCTACATTCCCCTAAACGGAGCCGGACATCCCAGCACCCAATTACCTTCTCAGAGCTTTCCGCCCGTTGGACCAGTATTGGCGAAGAAGTCATGAAACTTTTACACGACACAGGCTTCTCCGCTTTCATGTCGTTTAAGGAGGCTCTCAGTGATTTCATTTTCGGTTCTAAGCGCAGGAAGCCAACATGGCCACGGGCGCAGTCGCAAGAACGTCTCAAGCTGCAGGCACCCGCAAGGAGGATTACTGCTTTGAAGAGTTCTTTGAAGCTCCCTGTTTCTGAACGCGCTACCCGAAAACAATACACTGTGAGATTTACGTCTTTGCCATTCGAGTCGCCGCTGGCCGCTCCTCACCTGCTGCCTGCTGCTTCCGCCTCATCGCCCAACCTCTCGCCTACTTGCGAAGATACTTCTGACTCGCCGCTACCTTCTTCACCTCCCAGAAACGCTTTCGCTCCGTCTTCTGACCCCTTAATCTCTTCGGTGTTATACCCAAAGATTTATAATCAGATCAAGGCCAAGATGCCACGGAAAGTCAATCATCGGAAGCATATACTTCATATCCAGTTCAATGCCAGCGTCAAAGACTTGCTCAGGAAAACAAGAGAAGATATGGAATGAGAACTTTACCTGCTCAAGAAGCCGATCAGTGAGTGTAGTACGCGTTCATCTATCAGCCCGTCCGAGCTAATGTTGCGAAGCCGGCGTCCGATCATTGAAAGACTTTCGCGGATGGTTGGGCTACCAGGAACGTTCAGAGAGTCCTGCAGATACTAAGTGTATGTATCTAAATGAGATTAGACGTACATTTGTGCTGAGTTGTTCGCACGCATATAGCCTCGCCGTTATTCGAAGACCTACGTGATGCAGACTTCGTGCCTCCATTATCGCGTGTCGCATCGACGAACTTCATCCAGCGTGCCCTCCGAGACACAAAAAAATCGCTACTTTCCCCCAAGCCTATCGTTTCTACTCCGTTTCCAGGTGCTTGGCCACAAGCCACACGGATAGTTTCCGAGAAAATCGATACTCGCATACGGCGGCTACAAGATACACAGGCACAAGTCTCCGAGAAAATCGCTGCTTGCGCCCAGCAGAAGCCCCTTTCCCTGCCCATTTCGCTTCCGCCAGAAGACGAAGTAAAGGTGGCTGAGATATTTCAGAGGCGCGGTATCATCAGTAAAGGTGTTTGCGAACAGGTTAGCAACAAAGACCTCAGGCGGCTACACCCAGGTCAATGGCTCAACGATGAGATCATCAACTTCTACGGGGAGATGATCATGTGCCGCGTGGAGGAAAGTAAAGAGAATCGGGGAGAGGGTCTGCTGAACGTGCATTACTTCAGCACGTTCTTCTGAACCAAGCTTAAGGAGGGATACGAGGAGAGCAGGCTGGCAAGATGGACAAAACAGGTGATTACTTCTGTTCTTCAAAAGAGATCCTCGATCACTTAAGTTGTAAAGCGCAGATCACTCTGTTTTCAAAGGATATTATCCTCATTCCCATCAACCACAATGGCTCACACTGGACGGCCGCGGCGATCAACTTCCGGAAGAAGCGGATCGAGAGCTACAACAGCTTGAATAGGGACCAAACGCAGGTATTCAAGCTCCTACGTGTGTATCTCGATGCCGAGCACCGGACCAAAAAACGAAAGCCGTTCAATTTCGATGGTTGGGTTGATTGGACGCCCAAAAACACGCCGCAGCAAGAGAATATCTCGGACTGCGGCATCTTCGCTTGTCAGTTCCTCGAGACTTTGTCGCGCGGTGAGGAAAGGTTTGCCTTCACTCAGGCAAACATGCACTACCTCCGGAGACGGATGGTCTGGGAGATTGCGCATGCCAAGCTTTGGACAGACACATAGTCAACTCACATATGCAGCACCTCGTCTCACGCTATTTCATTGCATCCACCATTGTCGTCGCACACGCGTCGGTCCCAGCATCGTACATCTGCATCGGATATAAATTTTATTTTCTGCGAACCTTATTGTACCGTACTTGTATTCTTAGTTTGTTCTTTAGTGTCTGTCCCTGTAGGAGCCTGGCATTATCCTGAGCGGACGCTGACAGCTGCCATCATCGCATAGCTATACAATTACGGGCACAGCCTCGCCTTCCATCCTTCAGATAGTCGAGTGATAATACTCGTGCGACCGTGATCGTCGTCGTGCTGCGACCCGAGATCGTTCTTCTACCTCTTCTTGCTCGATTCATGATTTGAGAAGGGCCCATCGCTCTGCCAGATGTAATGAGCTCAGCATTAAGACGCAGTCCAACGTTCCCGACATACTTTGAGAATTGGAGGCCTCGTTGATACCGGAGAGCGGTCGAGGACAGCAGGTCCTGCTAGGCATTAACTAGCCGTTCGCCGGAGCGTGACGATGGGTGTGGGGAGGCAAAGAACACAGGACTCGCGGACCTCTTGAATGAATGCCCGTAGCCGAGAATGGCAGCTACAAGATAACGAGCGGCTTGCAGTATTTCTGCCCGTGCATCGTGCTCTGGATCATCTGCGCCCGCTTCTTGACGGGATCGGGCTTGGAGATGTAGTTACAATGAGCGTGCAGAGCCCGCTTGAGCGAGAGCCGCTTCCGGCCGGAGCTCGGCGGCACTTTCTGCGCGGACGGGTCGGCAGGGGGAGGGTACTCAGCGACGGTCGGAGAGCTATGTTTTGTTTTCTACCGCGCTGGCGGTTGCACATTCTCGTCATCGTCGCCCATAACGCAGAGCTGAGGGTAAGGTCAGTCCATCAGGACGCGACGTAAAGAAGGCCTTTGGCGCACCATGGCATTCCCACCCAACACTGTGCTTGACCCCACATAATCTGCTCTATTATCGTGTGTACAAGAAAATAGGCCTCACCGGTGCCGTCACAGTGTACGACTAGGGAAAAGTATGGCGGGAAAGCAAAATACCGCGTGCTTAACCAGTTAAGAATGTATTTCAGTCGTAGCTTGCGGGCGTCGACCGAGCTCAAACCGGCCGCTGTTCGTCGTCGGGCGTCTCCGTCTCATCAGGCCGCGCGGTGATACACTTTTACAGAACACAACTCATCTGACGATCTGCACATGAACGACTGGCCGTCTGACTGTGCCGCTACTGGAGCTCCGTGGGTGCGGGTCTGAGTCTGAGGTCGAACAGGCTGCGCGCGCCGCACACCGGGAGTGTTGATGCCCAGTGTTCAAAGTGGGCGCAGGGCAGCGGCTTGGGTCGATAAAAAGGACGGTGTGAGGACGCGCGAAGATATGTGAGGTAAGGACACGCGAAGATGTGTGGGGACGCGCGAGGTGCGCCGCCGCTCGAGATGATCTCGGGTAAGTTTCTGAGCGGTACCTCGAAGATCAACGCGTTCGTCAGTGGAAGAGCTTGCACTGCGTGTGGGATGAGCAAACCGTCCTTGTCTGAACAGACAGTACTCACGCACCTGAGCCTCCAGTGTGAGGTATCAAAGAGGTGGGTGGGCCGCGCGAGAGCATATTGGGAGTAGAAGTGCCGAGGCGCGGTGCCCAAAGTGGATGCCGAGCAGTGGCCTGGATCGATACAAAGGACGGAGTGAGGATGCACGAGGGTGTGCGAAGGTGTGCGGGCCGTGCGAGGCTGCGCGAGGGCATGCGAGGGGGCGTGCGAGGGCGTGCGAGGAAGTGCGAAAATGTTTGGGGACGCTTGAGAACGCGCGCTGACTCACGTTGGTCATCATCGGATGTAGAAATGTGGTAGTGAGGACAGAATGGAATTGGCACGTGAGGGTGCTTGAGGGTACTTTACGAGCTGTCGGAGAAGGACTAGCGGGACCCCGAGCGCGAGTGTGAGGTGGTACTAATGGGCGCGAAGGTGCAGTTCGCGAACCTTCGCGTGCACGAGTAGACGAGTATCGATATTGGAGACGATGTGAAATGCAAGGGTCGGTCGACGAGCGGATGTGGTACGAGGCTGAGAGTGTGCCAGTAGAGCAGCCGGCGTGCAGTCAGCTATGCCTGCCGACCCGTTCCACAACACGATCAGTGTTTGCAACCAACTCAAGGAGCAGGAATACTCACGAGTATGGCATTGAAGCATCATGGCTCAATCCATCTTGGCTGTGCTCCCCATCTCTCTGCGCCTTGAGGTGATGCCAGCGACGGGTCATCCCTTCTCCCAGAGCAGCCGAGCATATGCACGAACTGCCGTCTTAACA